CTGTATATTTATTATTATTATTATTATTATTATTATTTATTTTTTCAAACTAATCCTGTTCTTTTGAACCTTCTATTCATTAAAGAATCCTGAAAAAATATATCTCTGTATAATTTTAAGCAGCACAACTGTTTTAACAATAATAAATGTTTCTTGAACAGCAAATCAACATATTTTAATGATTTCTGAAGGATCAAGTGCCACTGAAGACTGGAGTAATGGCTGCTGAAAATTCAGCTATGCATCACAGAAATAAATTACATTTTGCAATATATTGAAATAGAAAACAGTTATTTTAAATTGTAATAATATTTCACAATATTACTGTTTTACTGTATTTTTGAGCAGAAGAGACTCCTTTCAAAGACTTAAACATCTCACAGACCCCAAAATTCTGAACAGCAGTGCACTTAATAAATATTTGTCTCTCTGTTTTAGATGGTAGATTTAGGTCTTGTCCTGCATCAAGGCTCATATTTCCGTGACTTGTGGAACATCCTGGACTTTATAGTGGTTAGTGGTGCCCTGGTGGCGTTCGCCTTCACGTAAGTGTCATCAAGGCCCCAGCGCTCATGCCTCACTCCTCTCTCCTCTCCTGCTTGCTGCCTCTCCTCGTCCTTTCCTGTCTTGCTCCCTACAGGTCAAACGCCTGTGCAGTCGGCACAGCTCTCCGCCACCCTGGAGCGTCAGCCTGCTACCCATAAAACCCAGCTCTCTCTCTCTCGCTCTCTCTTTTCTCTCTCACCATTTCTCTGCCTATGCATTAGCCATATCTTTACCCTGTCTTTTCCTCTCCTTATCCCTCCTCACATTAAGCCCCAGTTTGGTAATATCTCACCAAATATCCCCACCCTGCCCCACCATGCACAACATTTGGCCCAGTGCCTATCCAGTGGGCGTGCTTGGGCCCATTTCCATGAGGGTGATAACCCTACCTGGGCACCTGTAACCCTTTAGTGCCCAGGAATCTTTGGAGCATCCAGCCACACTCACCTCAGGTATTTCTACACTCCATTTTTACGCCACATACCTGGAACCGAACATGAGGAAAACAGACAATAAGAAGAAAGAAACAAGAGAGCAAGGGGGAAACATTTAAGGGACCTTATGCTACAGTTTTGTATCGTTGATAGTCTATTTATAATTACTTAAAACTATTTTTTATTGTTTTTCCCTGAAAATTTCTTACCCTTAAGCAGAATTAAACAGGCTTCTGTACCTCTTTATTTAGGATTCATTTATTAAATGACCCCTCTTATGATTGACTGACATCTTTGCATGTGAAATGAGTTATAATGATTATTCGTGTGATGAGGGTTTATAGTTGGGTCCAGTGTAGTCACAGTCCATGCAGAAATGAGCTGTTTAAACTCTTAAGATCACACTGAAATGATCAGGAATCTTGTTAAACAAACTGCTATAAATAAAGGCAGGAACAACAAAGAAGGGATTTATGACTGGCAATCAGGATAGCTGACAAAGGAATAAAAATGTTCCAGGTCGTGTATCTGATCGCAGCGGAAGCATACAGCCCAGCTACTGGACTGAGAGAGTTACTAATATGAGGGAGAGGTCAGAAAGGTGCATCTGTTAATATGAAACTGGAAAAAAAATGCATGCAATATGCTCTTTTCCATACTTCGTAAAGAGCATGAGAACAGATTCTGGGAATCAACATGTCAGATGACCTGAATGAAAGCATGAATGGAAGAAACATGAACCCAGATCATTTTTTTTCTTCTTCCTGAAATACCAGAATCTGAATGCTTTGAAAGAGTAATGTTATATGATTCTGTTTATGTGTTTGTGTATATCCTCCTCAGTCCCTGAACAACTGTAAATGTGATTGCACACAAATTCTTCTCCACAAAAAAGTCCATATGTGACCCTGGACCACAAAACCAGTCATAAGGGTCAATTTTTCGAAATTGAGATTTATACATAATCTGAAAGCTGAATAAATAAGCTTTCCATCGATGTATGGTTTGTTAGGATAGGACGTGATGCAACTATTTGAAAATCTGGAATCTGAGGGTGCAAAAAAATCTAAATATTGAGAAAATCGCCTTTAAAGTTGTCCAAATGAAGTTCTTAGCAATGCATATTACTAATAAAAAAATTAAGTTTTGATATATTTACTGTAGGTAATTTACAAATTATCTTCATGGAGCATGATCTTTACTTAATATCCTAATGATTTTTGGCATAAAAAATCAATAATTTTGACCCATACAATGTATTTTGGGCTATTGCTACAAATATCCCCCAGCGACTTAAGACTGGTTTTGTGCTCCAGGGTCACATATGCAATGCAGTTCCAGACTGGCTTGGTCCTTTAGGTGGACATACACACAACACATGACATGTACATTGCATAATGGGAATGGCTGTCAGATTCATATTCATATGTCAGAAGAATTCATTAATAAAGACCTGTTCACATAAGTCTGACCAATTAAATGTGAAAGTGTAAAATACCTGCAAATAATTTTGCACTGCATAGGTGTTCATGCAGAGTCTGATGCTGAAATTCCCATTCTCATTTAGTGTATTTTTTTGGCATCTGAACACTAAAAACTGGAGTACGATATTTCAGACTTTGTGTGAAGTCGTTTATGGAGATGCATTTTGTTTTTAAATGTTTTTTATGCCACATATTAAGACCTGATGTGGTTATAGTTTTATATATATTTTTCTAGAACTCAAATTTGAGTTATAGGGCATGAAACAGTAGAAACAATAACATATAAAGAAAAAATATAAATTGTTTGAGGGGACAAACAGAGCTTGCAAACTGCATTGATTATCTTTCCCAGCATGACTTTCTTAAAGAAATCACCTTGAATCCTTGAGTATTGTTTTTCCCTTACCACCAATCCCACCCAACCTCACTTCCGTTTGCACCCACATCTTTAGCTCCTGCATGAAATAAGTTTCTTATTAGGTGATTCATAAAGAGGCGTTTGGATGTGCCTGCCTGTCCCAAAAACAAACAAAAAAACACTGTAAGCAGTCTTCCTATCATCGCTAGATTCTCCAGTTTTCCTTTCTCTCCCTCCCTCTCTCTCCACACAGTGATGGTGAGCTCAGAAGGGCAGGCGCTCTGGGGTGACTGGCGCTCCCTGGCTGTGAGCGTGGGAACAGTTCCCATATCTCTGTTATCTCTCACAGAGTCTGTTTTTAACTTTTTTACTCAATTTCAGGGAGTGACTCATATCTGTGTGTATGTATCTGTGCATGTTTATTTAGTATTTTGTGTACAGAGTCCAAAATTAGCACTCGCAGAGCGTCAAATGCAAGTAAAGTGGCTTTGGCGTGTAAATGAACGTGTAAATGACCCATTTTCTAGATACTGGAAAATGTAATTTCGTGACCACCACAGACAATAATGCATGGTTGAAATGACAAAGTATGGAAAAGATCAATACTTTTCTCAATTTGCCAGCCAAGGCAGGTGTAGCAAAAGGTTAATTTTGGACCCTGTTTGTATATATGTACTTTTGTATTTGTATCTAAATTGTTTTAAGTGTTCACACTAGATTAGGTGTCCACATATAAAACAAACCAGGAGCTCTGCCATTATTTTGTGATTGTATTCTCTGTCTCATATTGATATTTTTCCTGCTTCAAAAACCCCATTCTTTCCCTGTGCCTTTTTTCTGTCTCTGTGTGTGTTTTGTGTCTTTGTATGTGTCTCTGGCTCTGTCTGTCTCTGTCTTCCTGTCTCTGATCATCTCTCAACACCTACAGCGGAGGAGGCGGTGGGGAAGGAGAGGGGTAATGTCTCTTTCTTTCTCCCTTTCCCCTCTGTTTGCTCTTATTGCCTGTCCTTCTCATCACACGCCTGTCCTCTCCTTCTATAGACTGATCTGTCTGTCTGATTGTTCGTCCAAACGTCCTCTCACCACTTCCCTCACACATAGGACACAAGCCAAGGGCGAAGTCATGCCATTCTTTAGCCAGCTGCGGTTACTCAATCTTACAGCTAATCATCTCTTGGTACTTTCTACAGTATGTGGACACCTAAATGTGTTAACATACGTGTTTGTGTCTATGTGTACGTGTGTGTCTCTTTGTTTTTGTGTCGGCCTTCGAATACGATTTCTCTAAAACATCCAATAAGTGTGGTATGACTGATATACATCAGATTAAATTGTCATGAATATGTGAGTCTATAATAAGGGCCCTTTTTATTTTGGAAAGCAGCTTTAAAATTAAATTAAATTAAATTAAATTAAATTAAATTAAATTAAATTAAATTAAATTAAATTAAATTTAATTTAATTTAATTTAATTTAATTAAAAAATAAATAAATGATCCTGTTTTAATTAAAATTTATATTTTTAAATAAATGTGACTGGTATAGTGTGAATAGGTAAACCAATGTGCACTTTATTATTTTATTTACATGTATTTTTATACAAATTATTCATTTTTAAATATAAATTTATTATAGATATATTTATTTAAATATTTTATTATTTATATTTTTATTTGAATATTATTTACAGACATGTAAAATACTCCTTTAAATATAATTTTTAAATACAGGTTAAATTACAGGGTATATTATATTGCATTTCAATCTGTAATGTTTTTATATTTAACTTTTTATGTTTATATTTATACCTTTTTATATATATTTAAAGATTTTTATATATATTTAAAGTGCACTTCATCAGATGACTGGACACAGGTGGTCCTTTCATAGAATGACTCGCCTAACATTACAGGGACCTCACAACTAGATCTGGACATTATAGAAATTTAACAGATTAGACCGATACACTTGCAGAGTGATTTCATAGCATAGGGAGACATACAGAGGAAATGTCAGGTGATGTTCTATATACAGATCATTTTTGCAGAGCTGCTCATGTAAAGCAGCGAAACAAGACAACACGGAATGCATTAGGACCTCTTAGGGCCGGACAGGGTCTTTGCCCAGAGAGATAACACTATAATGGGATTACAGACAATCAAACTGCTCACCTCCTAGAAGGGCACTGTCCAATTGAGATGTGTATCACCATTTTGATGATCACAAGATCCAATTAGGCAGTCTATTTGTTGCGGTAAAACGTCAGCTGAGAGAGAAAGCAAGAGAGAGAGAGAACCTGCATAACTACAAAGTTCAAAGAAACTGATGCCAGTATGCACTTCCCTATGCTGGAATATAGAGTCAGAAACATGGATAACAAATACATAACATATGCGTTAAAACATAGTGAATCAGTTGGCTATTTGCTTCTATTCTATAACATTCTAGAAACAATAAAATGAGACTCAATTTTTAAATTAAATAATACAAATAATATATTCATAAAAATTATTAATAATAACAATTGTCAGAATTATTAATTCATATGCCAAGAAGTAGAGTTCATTCATATTTACCATTAGGCTGTTCTTGGTTTTCAAGCAACGTGGCTACTTGATGTGATAATATATAGAATGTGTGATCACCGGTGTGCATTAAAACGGCTTTGAATGCAGCTCATCCAATCAGAAATGAGTCTTAACTATCTGTTTATATTGGTGACGACGTATTTCTTGGTGGGCCATTTAGTATACAAAGGTCTCTGCATAAACATCTCATCCTTGCTTACTACACACCTTTCAACAGGTGTACTCTACTTTTACTAATAGGGTTGATTGGCAAAAAAGACACATTGGAATAGGACAGATGCACTGAACGCGCAAATATAGCATGTTTGAGTAAGCTAGTGGCACAGACAAGTAAGTCATGGAATCGATCCAGATCATCTCTAGATGACTGAGACAACTCTCTCGTGCCTTAGAGAGATGTTTGTTGAGAAGGTCTATGTGTGTTTAAGCCACACAGTTGTCCGCATTTGCTGATTTGAACCTGTGAACTGGTTGAGCTGACAGACTTGAGCCTGCTGTAGAATAAATCTGTATCAATCGCGGACTCCAGCAGAGCTTCGGGTCTCCATTGCCCTGATGGTGAAGTGCTTATGGTCACATGACAGTACCATGTGTCTAAATATGTGCTCTAAAGCACTGGATCATGAGATCATGATGAACAAGGAGGCATGGCAACTAACTCCAGAAGCTGTCACCTTAGCAATGAAGTCACATACAATATGGCAATGCATGATTAGGCCTACTACTCAAATAGATTTAGATTTGTGTGAAAGTGTGCATATGTGTACGTTAGTGAGTCTCAGCCTCAGACAGCATGCCTACAGACCACCCACAGTCCTTTCACTGACCGCCTGATGCATATTGTACACTAAAAAAAGGCAAGTTCAGACTGACATTGATAGGCTAAATTTTATGAAAGTGAACAACTGAATCCCTTCACGAAGGGCCCTTCCAGAAGTCCGTTACATGTGATGGTCACTTAAAGGTCCCCTGAAATGCTTAGAAACACGCAGCGTTACGCTGTGTTGACGTCATTTTAACTGAAACAGGAAGACAGGGCGGGACATATCAAGCAGCCCCGCCCCTTTTAAAATAGCCAATAGCGTTCGTTTATATCACAGCTTGGGCTAGAACCGTTCAGAGCCGTTGAGCTCCGTAAAGCCGCGTTTGACAGGGTATGCCAACCACAATCTCATCCATATTGCAATAAAATATTGCATTCGGTGTAGAATTCAAATAGCGCAGATACATTTTGTGGTGTGCCCACTCGCGCATGTGATCCGCTCCATGCTATCGTGTCTCTGGACCGGAGCAGAGTGTGTGTGCGGTGGTTTGTATGACACAGCGCGAAACCAGACTTCTTTTTTTCCTCAATGGAAAGCATATTTACACTGTTTGAATCGTTCCCTGTTCCCTGTTCCCTGTCCCCTATACAGTGGACATTCTAATTCTAATGCTGTGGACAAGTGACCGATTTCAGCCGCGGATTCAGCGTCTATTTTATAGTGTAGGGGGCGGGCGCTGCGTATTCTAGAGAGCATTTGATTGGACAGAAAGTTTGATGAGAAGTTGAAGTACGATGTGATGTAAAAAAAAAAAATAGTTGAGCCGTTTTGATGGAAGTGAGGAACTGAAAGCTTTGAATGCTTATATCTTCTAAATGCGAATTTTGTCACTGTTTTGGAGCACACTGCCGTATAGATAACCTTAAGACTAACATATTGATACTAACACCCAAAAAACGTTAATTTTGATTTCATGGGGACTTTAACGGAAGTAATTTTCGTTTGTGATTATGTGATCTTCGGTCAGGAGATCTTGCGATGCTTTTTAAAGCAAAGTTGGGGTTGATTTCGAGTTCACATACAAAGTAAATAGAATAGGCTAATTAAATTAGTCTATTTTAATGTAAGACCGAATATTGTTCGTCAGTGATAGAAATATGATTTAAGATGGTAGTGCAAGCAAGTTTAGTTTGAAAAGGTTTAAAAGTAAATAAGACACAATTAGACGGTATTTGAATAAAATAATAATAATAATAAGAAATGTATTTGCAACTACTGATGGAGTGCTGAATGTTGCACGCACGCTCAGCGTTGTCAAGGTAACATTTGGTCAGTCATTCCCTTCGCCAAGGAAGTTCCAAACGCTTATACGAGACAGTAATGCCCTACACCCTTCAATGAACACACTTCAAGGGCTCTGCCCTTCGAAGGGAGTAGGGCGTAGGGATGCTCACTTCCGTTTGGAATTCGCCCACTATTTACATTTTAAACTGTATGTAAACACTCGCGTTACCTAGGCAACTACTGACGCGTTTGTATTATGAGCCCTGTTATCAACCCCACAGTGGAAAACAAAATGATATGAAATGGAGCAGTTAAGCAATGAGAATGGTTCGGCCCGATGGTGGAAAAGCAGCTGATGCCATTTGCAGTAATTCCCAAGATTTGATTGTTTCCCAAGATTTCTTTGCAGAATCACGGGTAATGCATTTTTTCACAAGGGATTCTGCTGTTAGACATGATTAATTAACAAAATACGTTTAAATAATGTGGGCTTCAACATAATAATGCAGCATAAAACAACCTCGTAACTAAGTCTTTTTTTTTTTTTAAGGTTTATAAGTTAATTTTAAGCATCAGTTCCACTATGGTAACCACTTCTGGAACCTAACTGTTGCACTCCATTGTGGTAAAATTTATTTTAAAAAACCCCGCCCATAAACATAACACAAAAACAAAATGGACTGTGGTTGATCACGTTACATGTCAGTCAGGCGGTCACTTCCTGCCTAATAGAATAAGCTGCAAGGAGGACCAGACGTTTTGCCGCAAGTCAAAAGTCTGGCTATATAAGGCTAAATGTTCTGCTGGCGTAGCTTATGTATTGTTTACAGTTTTGTAAATGATATAAATGGGTAAGTGAACACAGATGTATGGGTGTGTGGATGTGCAAAGGGTAACAATTCACAAGCTTGCACCGTTATTTCTCTCTTTTTACTGTATGTGTCTCATATTAATGTATTTCTTCCTTCAAACTCCCTTTCTCCCCCGTGTCTTGTGTGTGCGTGTGTGTATGTGTGTCTGATTCCTCTCTCATCTCTTCAACTGCTCACACCTACAGCGGAGGCAGCGGGTAATGTCTCTTTCTCTCTCTTTTTCTCTCTCTTTTGCTCCCTCTTTTGCTCTTAATGCTTGTCCTGGCAAATACACCGCTTTCCTCTCTTTCTTTTTTGGATTTGTCTCAATGTCTGTCTGCAAGTCACCCATCTCTTCTATCACTCTGTCACTGTTTCTGTGTTAACCACCCGTGGATGATCATTCAGTCCACGTAGTTCTGATGGGGGGGTTTGAGATGTCCCTCACCTCTGCACCCATCACTCTAACAGCACTTCTCTGATGGATGCTTGTTTATGCTTGACAGTGTGTAACCACATCTGCTGAGAGGGCAGGATTCGGCACGGCACTGGAAATCTAGAGCGCTGCCCTCTGTCCTTGACACTGAGACAGAAGAGGAGAAGAGAGGACAGGGAAGACAATAAAGATGCAAAATACATAAAGAGAGAGATAAATATATATCTATATTTTATACAGTGAGGTCCAAAAGTGTGAGAATCTTTTTTTTTTTTCATTTAAATGTGGAAATGAACAAAGTTGGGAGGATTTAGACAAAGAGAAGTCACCTAAAATAAATAAATGTTGGCTTTGTATGTGGAACAGAACCAAATTTAAGACGTCATTCCTTCACGAAAGAAGCAACGGTATCCAATTCATGAGTGCATCAGTATTACTTTACAATAACGTTTAATTTGTTGATATTAGTTAATGAATATTAATCATTTGATAGCATAAATAACAATATATTTTACTGCATTTACTCATTTATGTTTATTTGCTTATATATACTACCATTCAAAAGTTTGGGGTCAGTAAGATTTTTTTTCTTTAAGAAGTTAATAGTTTTATTCTGCTTGGATGCATTAAATTGATTAAAAGTGACAGTTTTTTTTTTAATTGTAATATTTCACAGTATTACTGTTTTTACTGTATGTTGTAAAATAAATGCTGGATGAGCATAAGAGACTTCTTCCAAAAACATTTCTATTCAAATTTTTACTCAAACCTTAAAAGCTGACAAAATCAATTTCAATTACAAAAATGTTGTATTCATTTTGAAAAAAAAAAAAAAAAAAAATAACTTTTAGACCCCACTGTATGTGATTCTAAGAAAAAAGCATCATTACATAAATTTGTTTTGCAGTGATATAAATCAGTGTACAACCACACTTTCACATAGTTTAGTCTTCAATGTACAACTTGTGCATTTAGCTTGCTGGTCACTAGCTGCACATCTGCCGTGCAACAGCTGTACACATATCTGGTGGATGGCTGTGCTTGGGTACCACAAGAGCGACGTGCAAATTGTCAAAATTTTAGGCCAGAAAGTCTTCAGATTGACTAGGTTCATGGTGACACGGTTCTTCACCCTACAGAGCCAGGGCTGATCGGTAGAAGCTCCTCCTCTCTGGAGTGACTGTGTTTCCAGGTCCTTTTATATGTTGTGTTTGCCAACGGACAAGCCCACAAACAAGAAAGAAAGAGGTTTGGCTGGGCATTCTGCAGCAGGGATGCCTGAATCTGCTCTGTATGTTTCATGCTGTCGTCATGGCAATGTAATGAAACCAGCCAGTGTTCCTTGGGAAAAGAGGTACAGTGGTGGTTCCAGCATGGGCTGAGAGAGTACAGTGGATATTACATCCACTGATCTAGTTTTCAGTACAGCATGAGCCACACCAGCGAGTGTGTGTGTTGTGAGATTGACTGTGTGCATTTTAGTATCTGTCTATCCTAAGTGCTGTGAAATGGGCTTGATTGTCTGGCTACAACAGGCTACATTCTCAGTGAGGAGACACAGATGAGATTCCTGATTGCCTGGGAGTAAATGTGTGGCTGTAGCAGGCATGTTTCATTGTTTTAACAGCCTGAGCTACTAACTCACCCCTAAATTGTTTGTGTGCAAGACCAATTACCCATGTAGCCTAACACTTCCTGCCATTTCACTTTCTAACTGGTGTGTGTGTGTGTGTATTTGCAGAGGAAGCAGCAAGGGGAAAGACATCAGTACTATCAAGTCCCTGCGTGTGCTCCGAGTACTGCGGCCTCTGAAAACCATCAAGCGTCTGCCCAAGCTGAAGGTACCTCTGTGTTTGGCTGTTTTTGTTCCTCCTTGTGTTGACTGAGTTTTGCCTGTTTACAGAGGATGGTTGTGTTTTTTCACTACATGGGCTTTATTTTTCTGTGTAATCTGTTTCTGGCTGTGTTTGACCAGACTGTTTTTAATTTGTTTTGTCTGGTTTTCAGACCTTCTTTGAATTTGTGTATTTATTTGTATCACTTACTGATTTATCTGTCTTTGGCTGTGTTTCTTTAGAGTTTTCACATTTGTTTATTAATTTCTGTTTTTATCCGTTTTTTTTTTTTAAGTAAATACAGTTAATCTATTTTTGTACATTTTGATGCTGTTTTGTTTTATCTAAGGGTTGTGGGATTTTTTAAAATTTTCTTTTGTCTCTTGTCTCGGTCTTTTTTTTTTTTTTTGCTGCATTTCAGGAATTTGTTTTATTTTGTGTTTTTTATTTGTTTTTGGTTTGTTTAGTTTGTTTGATTGGTTTGCTATAACTCGGTTTCTGTTTTTATGATAATTTATTAGTTTTATTTAAATGTGTTTGTAAAGTTTTGATGCTATTTTGTTATATCTTATAAGGTTTGTGTTTGGCTGTCGGGCTATAATTTAATTTCTGTTGTTCATTCTCTGTGTTTTTTCAGGCTGTTTTTTGATTGTTTTATTGCTGCATTTTAGGGTATTTAATTTATTTGTTTGGTTTGTTTCAGTTGGCTAATTCTATTTTTATGCATATTTATCAGCCTTATTCAGTTGTATTTTTACATTTTGAAGATATGTTGGTTTGTGTTTTGTCTTATAAGGCTGAGTTTGTGTTCTGCGTTTGAATTTGTCTCTTCTCTGTTTTGTCTATTTTCAGGCTGTCTTTGACTGTGTGGTGAACTCTCTGAAGAATGTGTTGAACATCCTCATTGTCTACATGCTGTTCATGTTCATCTTTGCTGTGGTGGCAGTGCAGCTCTTCAAAGGCCGTTTCTTCTACTGTACCGATGAATCCAAGGAGTTGGAGCGTGACTGCAGGTGAGACAAAACACACACACAGAAACACACTGATGAACAGATACATTGGCATGTTATTCTAAAAGCATTTTGTTGTTAGGGGCGAGTATCTTGTCTATGAAAAAGATAACGAAGTGCGGGCGCAGAAGCGGGAATGGAAGAAATACGATTTCCACTATGACAATGTGCTCTGGGCCCTTCTCACCCTCTTCACCGTTTCTACGGGAGAGGGGTGGCCACAGTATGTATACATCTCAATACCTAACCTAATTTCCAATGTATGTACCCAATGATTTAAGCCAATTGTGAAATTGCTTCTGTTTTCTAATGTAATGTTTTCACTACAAATTACAATTTGAGTAAAGTAGAAGTTGTTTTACATGGCATATCTAAGGACTTGCTACAGTTACCTAAAAGATTTGACATTATCAATGCCTCATGTTTTTGCCACTCTCCAGGGTGCTGAAACATTCAGTGGATGCGACCTACGAGAATCAGGGCCCGAGCCCAGGTTACCGGATGGAAATGTCCATCTTTTACGTGGTGTACTTCGTGGTCTTCCCCTTCTTCTTCGTCAACATCTTCGTGGCTCTTATCATCATTACTTTCCAGGAGCAAGGAGACAAAATGATGGAGGATTATAGCCTGGAAAAGAATGAGGTGAAGGACATATCAAATGGATGGTTTTTAAGCCAAATTAACTTTCTTTATGCATAGCGCTGGCATTGGTCTCATTTATATGGTGTATTATCCAATAATAATACATATCTGTTTTGTTTTCAGAGAGCCTGCATAGACTTCGCCATCAATGCTAAACCGCTCACGCGCCACATGCCTCAGAACAAACAAACATTCCAGTACCGCATGTGGGAGTTTGTGGTGTCTCCTCCATTTGAATACACCATCATGGCCTTGATTGCCCTCAACACCATTGTCCTTATGATGAAGGTGTGGCAGTATTTCACTTTAGTACATCTGACTTTATATATTTTGAGAACCAGACTTCCAGTGGATAGTAAATTTGCTTTTAAAAGATTGCAATGGTACAAATTAACAGTTGCAGAGTTTATAGTCTCTAGCATTGTTAGTTTACCAGCACATTCGGCAAATAAATTAAAGTCCTGAAAATTTTTTTTACAAATTTCTGTACTGATGTTCTACAAAGTTTGCACTTTTTTGCAGTCCATTTACCAACATTTGAGACCTTTCTAAATAAGGTTTAATACAGTTTAAATATGTTGTGTTTGATTAGTATGATGGAGCATCAGATGCCTATGAAGCTGTGCTAGCCAACCTGAACATGGTGTTCACCTCACTTTTCTCCATGGAGTGCATATTAAAGATCATTGCCTTTGGAGTTCTGGTGAGTCTACAGTACAGTTTTCTCATGCTTAAGTGTATGTGTGTGCGTGTAGGGTCCAAAATCGAAACGGTCTCATTTTGAGAGACACAATTACACACATTTACATACAAAAATCACATTGTCAGATTCAAACTCAGCATTGCACAAGCAGATTTATGAACAGATCAAGCATGAGAGAGAGAGAGATCAAAGAGGTTGCGTTCTGAAGTAGATGGCAAAAGGTTTGGGACATGGAAGCGCAGGACACGAAGGAAATGGTTGTAGTCAGCTCAAAGTCATGCCATGAAGATAGTGAGCTAGAGGGCACACTGAAGTGTTTAAGAGTGGAAGATGGTAAAAGAAGGACAGATTTCGAGCGAAATTAAGATGACGGGTATGGTGAGTGGTTGATGGAAAGAGTTACGCACACACACACATACACACACTTTGCACTGATGCCCCTGTTCCCATGCAGCTGGTTTACTGAATGGGCCTAATGCACTGTTTTCCTGCAGGCACTCACTTGGCAGCTCACAAAAAGGCCATCATGTTCAGCATCTGGGCCACTAGTCTTCTAGGCATCCACCCTTTTTGTACACAGGGTGAGGGAGAGCAAAACTCAATGAAGGAATAAGGGCTAAAAGGGGGAAAGGAGACGTTTCATTAGCACCAGAGAGTGAAAATTAATTGTTTGCTCCTTTTTCTGTCAGCGGGTCACTGAGTTTGTGTGTGTGTGTGTGCTAAGCGTAATCCTCCTTTAGCCCGACTGACAAACGCATCTATGTCTTTTTACCACAGAACTACTTCAAAGACGCCTGGAACATCTTCGACTGTGTGACTGTACTTGGCAGCATCACTGATATTTTAGTCACAGAGCTAGGGGTAAGTGTGTAGCAGAAGGGCTGCCATCTGTGCGTGCGTATGTGCGCGTTTGTTTGTGTATCCTGTCTGTACGCTTGTGTGTATTTCCGTATGTGATTGAGAGACTCTCAGCAGGATCTTCTCTTGCTCACTGAGGTGTAAGGAACTCCTAAAAGTCTTATATAATCGTCCCAGTTGGTGTGTGAGGCAGATCAGTGAGCCAGTGGTGCTCAGTGGCGAGGGGGGTCTGTTACTCTTCCAGCTTTGTCATTTATCCCCGAGCCAGATCAAACTGACCTACCAGTAAAATCAATGTTCTCAAATGTTAACATGTATTCATAATGCAACAAACAATGATGGCCATCTCTAAAAAATTAGTAAAACATGTTAGTGTTTGTGTATATGTGTTTTATTTTTCTTGGTTTCACAGCAGATCATCAGCACTTCAAAGACCCCATGGAATCAAAATTGACCATAAATTAGTCAAATCTACACATTCAAAAAGTACTGTTCTTTTCTAGGAAAACAGGCCAAAAATATTGACGACTCATGAGAATGTCCCGTCCCCCAAATGCGATTAGCAAATCATGGTTCATGGCTGTAATGTAAATAAAGTCTGTTGCCTGTTTAATAATAATATAAAAAAAAGAGAGACAAGCCCTTAAAAATGTGTGGCCCAAACTACCTGTTTAAATAGAAAGTTAACATAGGAAAGAAAACTGCACTAATCAAAGCATGGTCTTTAAAAATGATATATATATTAAAATTTGGAAATATAATATTTTTATGTAGTTATTTTGAATTTTTATTTTTTATTTATCTGGAGAGTTTAGTTGCATCATTTGGTCTATAATAATTAGAAATGTATTATTTATTTGAAAATGCCATTTTTATGTATTTATTTTGATATGTATTATTTATTCATTTTGAAATGTATTATTTTAAGGGTTATTTTTTCAAATGTTTATTTTATGGGGTTATTTTTGTAAATTTTTTTAATTTATATTTTTAAATGGGGGTGAGTGTAACGGAAGCCAGCGAGTAAGTGCTGTGCAGGTAAACCTCACTCCCCTGATCTCAAGAGATGCACTAGCGACTAATGCTAGGGGCTGCAGTCTTTAGCCTCCTTGTTAGTGCGTCTGCCTCCCATGCCGGAGACCCGGGTTCGAGACCTACTTGGAACAAGAACGAGGTGTGGCGGTGAGGACCCGGGAGAGAGGGGTTACACAAGCATATCGATGACCTCAAAGCAAACACAAATGGGCTTTTATGGTGTCTTTTAAAGGGGTCATATGATGCGATTTCAAGTTTTCCTTTCTCTTTGGAGTGTTACAAGCTGATTGTGCAAGTTCGGGCTCTGTCTTTACATTTATGTTGAAAGCTGAAGCTGGCGATATTGGTAAGGGGCATTACATTTCCGACGAGTGCTTGCGGTGTTCGGCCAATCACAATGCACTGGGTCAGCTGGCCAATCAGAGCAGACTGCACTTGTCGGAAGGAGGGACTTTGTAGAAAACGAAGCGTTTGAGAGAGGCGGGGCATAGAGGACCTACAATAATGTACAGTATTTGAAAAATAATGTGTTTTTTGAACATTAAAGCATGTCAACATATTCTGTTACACCAAATACACAAAATAATGATCTTTAAAAAAGCATCATATGACTCCTTTAACAGAAATGTGATGTGAAATACTTTATGATATGGTGTGGTTTTTGTTGTTGTTGTTTTTTTGTTTTGTTTTGAATTCTATAAGCCCCAGTCCTGTTCCTGGAGATCCACCTGAAGAGTTCAGTGCTGATGTTTCATTAAAATTGTAATTAAAGACTGAAGTCTGATCTCCAGTTACATGACTGACAAATATATATGTATTGATAAAAGCTTTTCAAACTGCATTGAATGCATATGAAAAGTGCATCATTTTAAAAAGAAACATTTTTTGTTATAATCAACCTTTATTTGAATCGAAAGGTTTGTTGATATGAATAATGATAATTCATGTCTTGTTTTATCTTTGTTTTACATGCTTTCTTTAAACTCTTCTTTATGGCGGCTTTTCCCTCTGATGACTCCATCCAATCAAAATGCACTATGAATCTCATGTGTATATCCATGACCTGACCTGACCAATCACAATGGTTGTTTAATCAACCTCCAAAAATACTGCTATAAACCATGCTTCTGCAACATCTACATGTAGATGGTTTGTAATTTTTTTTTGTAGTAATGCATCTAATGCATCTGTTTCCCTGTGGCTGATGATGATATAATGATGCATGTGCTCGAGTCATGATGACCTTTCACCCCTGCTTGTCTAACAATATGACAAACCCCTCTCAGTTGAGGTGTAATTGATCCGTAGCACACAGTTGAAACGTTTGGTGTTTCTCCGCAGGTTTCCTGAATGCATGTTTTGCTTTTTTTGCTGACAGGGAACGCTAGTAATTATTGTTTCTGAAACTGCATCTTCATACAGAAGATGCATTCAAATACATCAACACACACATAGATGTAAGTGTATTAAAGACATTTAAAGTATGAATTTAAATTAAATTATGAAGGTAGAGATGGCGTTAAATCCACCGTGAACTCGTATTCTATTTTTGTTTCCCTGTATTTCTGTGCTGCTTAAAGGACAATACCGTCAGTTTCAAGAAGTCAGTTTCTTCCCCTCTGTTTCAATAAAAGTGGGGAAAAAATGCAAAACTTTCCCACAACTGACTGAAATGTGTCCTTTAACCCAGCACATGTGTCCCTTGTCTTTGCTAGTGCCCTCTGTTGGTCATTGTAAGCTATTAGTGTGGTTGGCATGATTCCACGTGAATCTACAGATCAGTGCATTTGGTTGACTGAAGCAAGAAGTTAGGGTCTGTGCACTCCCTTCCCTAATGAGAACTCTTTTACAGTATTTTGTTTTATTATATAATTATATATTTTTTTGTATGAGTTGCTGCCTCCTCCCTTTATCTTTGTCTTTTCCCCTTTTTCACCATTGGATATGCTGAGCCTGTTCAGTCTTGTCAGTTTGAAACTTGTTTTTTTTTTCTTTATTGGTTTCTCCTTGTTTTATTTTATTCCTTCCTTATGTCCTTTTTTCCTTCTATCTATCTATCTTTCTTTCTTTCTTTCTTTCCTTCCTTCCTTTTTAATTTGTTCACAATTTGAAATCAAATGTTTTAGACTGACATCATTTCCTTTCTCTCTCTGTCTGCCCCTTCTTTATTTCTATCTACTGCTTCCTTTCTGTCTCTGTAGAACAACTTCATAAATCTGAGTTTTCTAAGGCTCTTCAGAGCTGCTCGTCTCATTAAGTTGCTCAGGCAGGGTGAGACCATACGCATGCTTTGCCCTCTGATGACTCCATCCAATCAAAATGCACTATGAATCTCATGTGTATATCCATGACCTGACCTGACCAATCACAATGGTTGTTTAATCAACCTCCAAAAATACTGCTATAAACCATGCTTCTGCAACATCTACATGTAGATGGTTTGTAATTTTTTTTTTGGAGTAATGCATCTAATGCATCTGTTTCCCTGTAGCTGATGATGATATAATGATGCATGTGCTTGAGTCATGATGACCTTTCACCCCTGCTTGTCTAACAATATGACAAAGCCCCTATCAGCTGAGGTGTAATTGATCCTTAGCACACAGTTTGCAGGTTTCCTGAATGCATGTTGTGCTTTTTTGCTGACAGGGAATGCTTTTCTGAAACTCATACAGAAGATGCATTCAAATACATCAACACACACATAGATGTAAGTGTATTAAAGACTAAAGACATATGAATTTAAATTAAATTATGAAGGTAGAGATGGCGTTAAATCCACCGTGAACTCGTATTCTATTTTTGTTTCCCTGTATTTCTGTGCTGCTTAAAGGACAATACCGTCAGTTTCAAGAAGTCAGTTTCTTCCCCTCTGTTTCAATAAAAGTGGGGAAAAAATGCAAAACTTTCCCACAACTGACTGAAATGTGTCCTTTAACCCAGCACATGTGTCCCTTGTCTCCCTTGTCTTCCTCTGTTGGTCATTGTAAGCTATTAGTGTGGTTGGCATGATTCCACGTGAATCTACAGAATCTACAGATTGGTTGACTGAAGCAAGAAGTTAGGGTCTGTGCACTCCCTTTCCCTAAAGAGGACTTTTTTTTTTACAATATTTTATTTTATTATATAAGTATATTAATTTTTTGTATGAGTTGCTGCCTCCTCCCTTTATCTTTGTCTTTTCCCCTTTTTCACCATTGGATATGCTGAGCCTGTTCAGTCTTGTCAGTTTGAAACTTGTTTTTTTTTTCTTTATTGGTTTCTCCTTGTTTTATTTTATTCCTTCCTTATGTCCTTTTTTCCTTCTATCTATCTATCTTTCTTTCTTTCTTTCTTTCCTTCCTTCCTTTTTAATTTGTTCACAATTTGAAATCAAATGTTTTAGACTGACATCATTTCCTTTCTCTCTCTGTCTGCCCCTTCTTTATTTCTATCTACTGCTTCCTTTCTGTCTCTGTAGAACAACTTCATAAATCTGAGTTTTCTAAGGCTCTTCAGAGCTGCTCGTCTCATTAAGTTGCTCAGGCAGGGTGAGACCATACGCATCCTGCTCTGGACCTTCGTTCAGTCTTTCAAGGTAAAATTATAACGTCAATGATGAAGTTGTGAAGAAAAATGTGCATTATGATGATAAATAGTTTTTACTACAGCATGCTTTTTTTATTAATCTTTCAAATAATCCAATTATAATCAATAGCATTGCGGACTGAATTGCTTGACCTGTGTATTGTTATTTTCTTATTATTTAAATATTATTATAGCTTTTATTAATATTTTGAATTAGCTTTTATTTTTATATTTTCAGTTTTTATTTTAATTTTACCTTAAATGTTAGTCATTTTATTATGTACTTTTGTAAGTTTGATTACTTTTTTAATATTATTGTTTTGGTTTTGTTTTTATATTATTTTCAGTTTTAGTTTTCTTTTTCCCAGTTAGTAATTTTACCTCTTAACTTAAAAAGTTAGTTGCCAAAGCGACATTTTTTTCATCTAATATTTTTATTTTATTTTTCTGTTATATTTCGATTAAAAAGGTGTTTCAGATTTTGTTTAAGTTAACAGTAATAACTGTGTGAGCTGAAACTGAGGCGCTTTGTTTGCGTGTAAATTAACTAAACTAAAATCTGAACAAATCATTACGCGTGAGATTAATCAGATAAGGCGCAAACGCACTTTATGTGCTAGTCAGAAATTTGCTATGAAAAGAGCATATTTACAATGTGACTTGCATAAAACACGGACAATGAATAACTAAAGCATAAAGAATTCATACCTTTTTTCTATGTAGTCAGTGTTTTTGTTAGGGGTTAATTCAGGTTAATTGGGACATTTTTTTCCCTAGTCATCTCAAAAAGCGTCCCAATTTACTTAAATGTATCCTAATATTTTGACAATACGCTGCACATTTCTCCTCAAACTGCCAGTAACAGGTTTTCACCCACATTTAATTGTTGGTTAATTTGGACTTATCTGCTTTGCTTAGGCTCTGCCGTATGTGTGCCTACTCATCGCCATGCTGTTCTTCATCTACGCCATCATTGGCATGCAGGTGAGTATGTGAGAGAGTGTGTGGGAGGCTGCACAGCACATACTGAGAATAGGTAAATGGCTATATTTGAAGGTAGTGGGCAATGAGATTGTGGGCTTATGCTATGCTTCTGCAACATCTACATGTAGATGGTTTGTAATTTTTTTTTGTAGTAATGCATCTAATGCATCTGTTTCCCTGTGGCTGATGATGATATAATGATGCATGTGCTCGAGTCATGATGACCTTTCACCCCTGCTTGTCTAACAATATGACAAACCCCTCTCAGTTGAGGTGTAATTGATCCGTAGCACACAGTTGAAACGTTTGGTGTTTCTCCGCAGGTTTCCTGAATGCATGTTTTGCTTTTTTTGCTGACAGGGAACGCTAGTAATTATTGTTTCTGAAACTGCATCTTCATACAGAAGATGCATTCAAATACATCAACACACACATAGATGTAAGTGTATTAAAGACATTTAAAGTATGAATTTAAATTAAATTATGAAGGTAGAGATGGCGTTAAATCCACCGTGAACTCGTATTCTATTTTTGTTTCCCTGTATTTCTGTGCTGCTTAAAGGACAATACCGTCAGTTTCAAGAAGTCAGTTTCTTCCCCTCTGTTTCAATAAAAGTGGGGAAAAAATGCAAAACTTTCCCACAACTGACTGAAATGTGTCCTTTAACCCAGCACATGTGTCCCTTGTCTTTGCTAGTGCCCTCTGTTGGTCATTGTAAGCTATTAGTGTGGTTGGCATGATTCCACGTGAATCTACAGATCAGTGCATTTGGTTGACTGAAGCAAGAAGTTAGGGTCTGTGCACTCCCTTTCCCTAAAGAGGACTTTTTTTTTTACAATATTTTATTTTATTATATAAGTATATTAATTTTTTGTATGAGTTGCTGCCTCCTCCCTTTATCTTTGTCTTTTCCCCTTTTTCACCATTGGATATGCTGAGCCTGTTCAGTCTTGTCAGTTTGAAACTTGTTTTTTTTTTCTTTATTGGTTTCTCCTTGTTTTATTTTATTCCTTCCTTATGTCCTTTTTTCCTTCTATCTATCTATCTTTCTTTCTTTCTTTCTTTCCTTCCTTCCTTTTTAATTTGTTCACAATTTGAAATCAAATGTTTTAGACTGACATCATTTCCTTTCTCTCTCTGTCTGCCCCTTCTTTATTTCTATCTACTGCTTCCTTTCTGTCTCTGTAGAACAACTTCATAAATCTGAGTTTTCTAAGGCTCTTCAGAGCTGCTCGTCTCATTAAGTTGCTCAGGCAGGGTGAGACCATACGCATCCTGCTCTGGACCTTCGTTCAGTCTTTCAAGGTAAAATTATAACGTCAATGATGAAGTTGTGAAGAAAAATGTGCATTATGATGATAAATAGTTTTTACTACAGCATGCTTTTTTTATTAATCTTTCAAATAATCCAATTATAATCAATAGCATTGCGGACTGAATTGCTTGACCTGTGTATTGTTATTTTCTTATTATTTAAATATTATTATAGCTTTTATTAATATTTTGAATTAGCTTTTATTTTTATATTTTCAGTTTTTATTTTAATTTTACCTTAAATGTTAGTCATTTTATTATGTACTTTTGTAAGTTTGATTACTTTTTTAATATTATTGTTTTGGTTTTGTTTTTATATTATTTTCAGTTTTAGTTTTCTTTTTCCCAGTTAGTAATTTTACCTCTTAACTTAAAAAGTTAGTTGCCAAAGCGACATTTTTTTCATCTAATATTTTTATTTTATTTTTCTGTTATATTTCGATTAAAAAGGTGTTTCAGATTTTGTTTAAGTTAACAGTAATAACTGTGTGAGCTGAAACTGAGGCGCTTTGTTTGCGTGTAAATTAACTAAACTAAAATCTGAACAAATCATTACGCGTGAGATTAATCAGATAAGGCGCAAACGCACTTTATGTGCTAGTCAGAAATTTGCTATGAAAAGAGCATATTTACAATGTGACTTGCATAAAACACGGACAATGAATAACTAAAGCATAAAGAATTCATACCTTTTTTCTATGTAGTCAGTGTTTTTGTTAGGGGTTAATTCAGGTTAATTGGGACATTTTTTTCCCTAGTCATCTCAAAAAGCGTCCCAATTTACTTAAATGTATCCTAATATTTTGACAATACGCTGCACATTTCTCCTCAAACTGCCAGTAACAGGTTTTCACCCACATTTAATTGTTGGTTAATTTGGACTTATCTGCTTTGCTTAGGCTCTGCCGTATGTGTGCCTACTCATCGCCATGCTGTTCTTCATCTACGCCATCATTGGCATGCAGGTGAGTATGTGAGAGAGTGTGTGGGAGGCTGCACAGCACATACTGAGAATAGGTAAATGGCTATATTTGAAGGTAGTGGGCAATGAGATTGTGGGCTTATGCTGGGGTGGGTTTTGTGTTTCACAGCTGTTTGGGAACATTGCGATTGAGGAGGAGGGGGAGAGTGCCATTAACCAGCACAACAACTTCAGGACTTTTTTCCAGGCCCTAATGCTGCTCTTCAGGTTTGTGTGTGAATCACAGACTGGCTCTGTTGAATGTTGTGTGTGGGTTACGAACACTTTATAACCGTAGTTCAACACCGTGTGTTTGTAGGAGTGCTACAGGTGAGGCATGGCATGACATCATGCTGTCATGTCTGGGAAAGAAGGTGTGTGATCCTCTCTCTGGTAACGTGGAGGCAGAATGTGGGAGCGAGTTTGCCTACCTCTACTTTGTCTCCTTCATCTTCCTCTGTTCCTTTCTGGTGAGAACATCAGCACTGTTGTTATTACTACCGTTGTACTCATAGGCAGCATTTATAGTGAGTACATTTCATCCACATCCACATGTCCCTACTTTTTTACAAAATAGCTTGTGGAGAGCTTGTATCAAATAGAGATGAAAAGATCTCCAATTGTTGAGCAGCAGGTTCCATTTCTTTAGTGGGCGTTATATTATAATGAGAGGGAATCTGGCACTGGAATGTATTATTTTGATGTTTTGCTGAGTGGTCGCCACATTTGTCATCAGTGGTGAAAAGTGACTCAGACATGCGACATACTTCTCTATTGCTTTTCCATCTGTTCCAGTGAAACAGCAAAACAAAATGCAAACAAATGTGTTCCCACTACTGATTATATCCACTGATGAAAAGCTGCAAATGAGTTTTTATTGTATTATATGTATTGTGTTATGTAGTTATATTGTATATGGCTGGGGGTTGTTCAAACCAAAAATGTTACCTCCAAAACCAACAGGTCATAACTAGTATTACACCACTAATCTGTGAATCTATCAACTGACCTACCAGAATCCCTGGACAGATAGTATGGCTGTCAGGATGACAGACAGCAGACGTCAGAAAAAAAAATATAAAAATATATATACAGGTGCATCTCAATAAATTAGAATGTCGTGGAAAAGTTCATTTATTTCAGATAATTTCTCCACTATACACTGACCACTTTTTTAATACAACGTGACATCCATGATTGTACTGTTTTAATATTGCTTAAAAGCGAATAAATAACAGTCTCATGTACATTTGGTGTGTAATTTACAGCTCGACTTGTCAGATTTGGCTACTTAGGCCTGTAATTTACATGTGTGTAGATGCTGAATCTGTTCGTGGCTGTGATCATGGATAATTTTGAGTACCTGACACGTGACTCCTCTATCCTGGGACCCCATCACTTGGACGAGTATGTGAGAATCTGGGCGGAGTATGATCCAGCTGCTTGGTGAGCCCATGTGCACTTGCACACATAAACTTCTTGAATATTACATACTATTGGTGAAAAGTACTAATTACTTAGTAACTTGAAGTGAAGTTATAAATTAAATGAGCTTATAATTTTTATAATTTATAATTTAACTTTCACTAAACTTATTAATACACACTGAATAGATACCATTAGATTGTGATTAACATGTTTCTTGGTAATTAATCGAAAGTTAAGACCACGCAATCTTTTAAAATGCAGAATTGGATGCAACAGGCCCTAACTTTTTGAATATCTTTGGCCCCTAAATTTGCTGGACACACCATTTTTAAGAGGCTATTTTAACACTTTTTGGTCTTGTGTGAAAGACAGGTGTGCTTTACATGTGTTTACCTATACATTTTCACACCTGTAAATGTAGCCTCTGTCCTATAACAGCACACAGTGGCCCACTATTATCTGTTTGACTGGAAATTAAATCAAATTTTTTTAATCGGAGTAGAGCCGTGGCCTCTGGCACAGTCTTTAACGTTCAGAGCCTGGCTTCATTGTATCCTACCTCGGACCAAACAGGGAGGAGAATACCACAGCACCTGCTGAGAGAAAGGGATAATGGATTTGAGCTTCTCAGCTCTGCTAAAATCCATCAATCCCCCCCAAACCCTCCTACATGCCCTTCTGTGAGTCCCAGTCCTCCCACTCTGGAATACGGCATACTGCAAGCCAAACTTACTGTGCCAGCCCCCTCCCTTCTGCTGAACACGCTAAGTTTCCTGGTATCTGCATTCCAGTGCCTGTCACCCTAATGTTAGATAGTAATGTAGGCGGGCAACCGAGAGTTAATAAGATATTCAGAGAAGAATAGGAAAGACTAAATCTTAACATGCAAGCAGGATTAAAGCCTTTTTACCGAGGGAAATTATGCTGAAAAGATTGAGGAGAGACAGTTTTTCAGAGAGTCTTCATTCTGAATGGCAGAATCAATCTGACAAGAAAGAAAGCAAAAAGGAAAGAGGACAAAAAAAAGAAAAAAAAGAAATTAAGTAGAACAAGAAGCACGAAAAGAAAAGATGAAGTAAAAAGGAAAAGAAGGAAGAAAGATTGAAAGGAAAAGTGAATAGAAGGTAAAGTTAAAGGGAGAAAGAGAGAAAGGAAGGGGGAAAGAAGGGCACGAGAAAGGGAAAGAGGAAGGAAGGGAAACAGAAAGAAAGGAAGACAGAGAAAAAAGGAGAAAGGAACATAAAGGATGAAAGGAAAGGAAGAAGGAAGGAGGTAGAAGGTGGGAAGGAAAAGAGAAAGAAAGAATGAAAGGTGAAGAGAATGTAAGATGAAAGAGAGCAAAAGAAAGGCAGAAAAACTAAGTAAAGAAAACAAATTATGAAAGTAAAAGATAAAGGAAGGAGGAAACAAGTGAGGAAACCTCAAAGAAAGACATGATGGATAAGAGAACTGAAGGAAGGAAAGAAAGAAAGAAAGAAAGAAAGAAAGAAAGAAAGAAAGAAAGAGAAAGAAAGAGAAAGAAAGAAAGAAAGAAAGAAAGAAAGAAAGAAAGAAAGAAAGAAAGAAAGAAAGAAAGAAAGAAAGAAAGAAAGAGAAAGAAAGAAAGGGAAGGAGGGGAAAAGGAAAGTAGAAGGTAAAGGAAGGAAGGAATACAACTGACAGAAGGAAAAGAGGAAGCAAGTGAGGAAAACAAAAAGAAGGAAGCAAGAAATGATGGTGAAGAGAATGAAAGGAAATATGAGAAGTAAGGACAGAAGGAAAAGAAACAAAGGAGGAAGGAAGGGAAATTAAGTAGAAGAGAAAAGAAGGAAATAAGTAGAAGAGAAAGTTAGAAATTAATGAAGAGGAAGGGATTAAATAAAAATAGAAAGCAAGTAAGGAAAACAGAAAAGAAAAAGGAAATAAGAAAAAGAGGGAGGAAGAAAAGAAAAAAAGCAAGGTAAAGGGAAAGAGAAAAGGTAAAGAACAGAGTAAACTGAAAAATGGAAGGAAGTAAGGAAAAAGAAAAAAACAAGAAGTGAAGTAGAGACGGGTAAGCAGCAGTAATATGGAGGTGTGCGAACTAACGGGTGACGATCAAATAAGAAAATGTGTGTATGATTCTGTGCTTCTCTTCCTGTTCTTGTGCTCTTCTTCCTGCCGATGTCTCTGTTCTGAGTTGTGTTCTCTAACTTCCCTGTATTCTTCTTACAGTGGGCGCATTCATTATAAGGATATGTACAGTTTATTGCGAGTTATCGACCCCCCTCTGGGCTTAGGCAAGAAATGTCCTCATAGGGTGGCCTGCAAGGTTTGACTTCCACTTAAAAACTAATATTACCTGCTAGCATCCAGAATGCAATGAATGTCGCTTACCTCTTCTTTTTCTTTTCAACAATGTTTTTGTACTCTCACCATTTCTACTTGCATTCTACTTGATATGACAATAGGCGCGTTTCCATTACAGATTTGTGCAAAACTTTGGCGATAGTTTATAAATGTAGATAAAAAAGTATTGTGAAATGACCGCGTTTCCATTAACCAATGTTATGTGACTAAAACGTAACCTTTTGCCTCTCGCGATAAGTCATGGCAACGGATTTTGGTGGGATTTTGACGGATTTTGGCTATATTTATTCAAAGGAGGCGTATGCGTGTATCTTTACAGAAGCAGCACAGAGAGCCGCTTCAGAAACGTGTGTCGCACGGCTGGATTCTGGAATAAACACAAGCATTGAGTGGCCGCAATCAGCTTCAGTGACCGTATCAGAGCCACACTGCACCGCAGACGTGTGCAGTGTAAATAGTCTAAGCATTAATAGTAGGGAAAGCCCCTTATACTGGAGAGCGGCCACTTGTGAAGTGTTTCATGGAGGTAATAGTACATTGAAGAATGATCATATGACTTTTTACATACGCCATGTGACCTGTAAATGCGAAAAAGCCGTTTCCATTTAAGTTTTGCGAATTATTCCTTTTTCGCATTGCCTGAAAAACCACCTCATGCGAGCGTAAAAACTTTTTTGCGATATATGGGCATTTTTGCGAAATTGACGCATTTCCATTAGACGTATTTTCAATTCGCAATTTCAATTTGCGCAATTTGAAGGGTAATGGAAACGCACCTAGTGAGAATGTGCAGGACAATGCCGACACTTACAGGAGCATGAACTAGTGCACTAGTGTGTATGGAACAAGCAAATGAGAAAACAACTAAAGTGAAAGACAAACAAACAAACAAAAAAACTAAACGAATCAGCCATCTTTGATTTTTGTTTTGCTTGCTGTTGAGGCACGGCTAGGCCTGGCTGGTATGGTAGCGTGCATTGTTCTGGGTGGAGGGGGACAGAAACTGCATTGACATTAAACTTCATTACAACGCCCTGCCAGCAGCAGGACTTTATGCCTGTTCTGAAGCCCGCATGCTCTTCTATGCAACCTGCCCCATTGCATAGAACGCCGTTTTAGCACTCAGACGTTGAGCTCCCACCTTCCACCTCCCCCTCCCCTTACCCACAAATGACCAACATTAGTCTTGCGGCAGCCTAGTTTACCAAACCGCTCCTTTCGTCCAGGCCAATAACCTGCTTTTTGTTCTGTTCTGTTCTCCTCCCCTCCCAATTCCCCGTCTCCTTCCTGATCCCTTCTTTTTTGAATTACCCCTTTTCTTCTTCTCTTTCTCTCTCTCTCTCTCTCTCTCCCATGCATATTTCCTTTGGTTTTTGTTTTGTTTCGGTTGCCCAGTGGCAGAATCAGTTTCAGGGATATGTATGAGATGCTCAGGCACATGTCTCCTCCGTTAGGCCTGGGGAAGAAGTGCCCTGCACGTGTTGCCTACAAGGTAGAGGGCCTCCGAGTGGCCAGCGCTGTGTCTGTACTTTTGGTGTTTTCTCTTTATTTTCTCTCCTTCTTTTCCTCCTTCGTTGTCTGACGGAGGGCGCTATTGTGATTCTGGTGGCAGGGCTGGGTTCGAAGGTGTTAGATTGAGGCGGGCCGATCCACAGGGAAGCGGGAACGGACAAACCTTCTCAGCACTTTTGCACCGTATGAAAACCTACACACACAAAACCACTAACGCACACTTTCATAGCTTTCATTAAAACTTCAAAGGATGAAACGTAAAGGTCTCAGATTTGTTCTTACGTTCTACATCTTTATCAATACATTAAAGCAAAATGCTTATGCTTTAATGTACAGCAGTGATCAATAAGTGAATTTCAGATCTGAGATGCAGTATGAAACTAAACACAAAAGTTGTGTCCCAAATGATGCACTACACACTATGCACTTATACTATGCACTATGTCCTCTACCTTATATAAGGTTAGTTTGTAATCCAGCATCGGGGCTGGTTGTCCTTCCACCTTTTCTATGTTAAGAAAGTGGCGACAGTTAAGAGCATGAAGTGTCCAACATTCCACATTTCGTTATTTCGGTTAAATAAATGCATCATGTGGGTATTTGAAATGCACTTCTTTTTGAAATTATCAGTGTGAACACACTACTACAAAATGGCATAGAATAGTGCATAAGTACGCAAATTGGGACGCATGTCAACACATACACATGCATATTGTATATTCACATCGTCACAAACACACACGCTCAAAAACACCCCCAAATGTGCGTGTGCAGCAGTGGTAGGAAGGCCTGAAGGACTTCAGTCCTCCGAGTCCCTCAGCTCTGTGGATTCCACTCTCTTAGGGACCCTTTCCTCTTGGGACCAGCTCTCTGTCTCTCTCTTTTCGCTTGCACACAGATAAGCACACATTCACACACATACGCAACAACACACACATGTAATCCTTGGGTAGCATTATGGCACTACAGCGGAACAAATCTCGTCATTTTGGTACAATGCAACTCTTTTGAACAAATAATCCTTTTCCCACTTCTCTTTCTTCTGTCAATGCAGTTCTAATCTGTTTCCAGCCCCTCCTCTTTACATTCTGCCAATCATCTGCATGCCCCACCTTCCAGGACACTGGCCCCTCCCACACAATACTCCCTTAGCTTTTTCTCTCTTTCTCCTTCTCTCTCTCTGTCTGTCTGCAACTGTACACTGACATTTCACCCTTCTGTCAGTGAATGACAGCTTAAAAAAATGCATGAAAGGAGATCTGCGCCCTTAATGAGCCCTCAACAAGTCTGGGATCCCCTTTCTCTTACCTTTGCCCCTCCCCCTTCATTTTTCTCTGTCCCGTTTGATCTCCCATTTCGTAAAATATTTTGCTTCATAGAGTGTTCGGTGTTCTCCACCAACATAAACATGTGGTGGCAGACCAACAATCTCTGTGTATTCAATCAGACAGGTCACTTACTGTCTAATGGGGTCTCTGTTGCCCCCTATCCTCAGTGGAATGAAGAACAGTGACCACGACCATTGCATTCACCCTCTTTCTCCCTGTCAAATATTAGGGCCCATAATAGAGGATCGCCTGTTGAGAATGTGACCAGCCTGTGGTAGAACTTTCTATTCTTACGTTTCCTCTAGCTTTATCTTTCGCTTCATTCTCCTTCGCCCTTGGATTTTTCGTGTAGCTTTTGAGCTCTCTTTAAATTTGGTGTCACGGTCTCTGTCCTGTCTCTTTCATCATTACCATCTCAACCATCCAAATTCCTCCTGTAAAAGCTATCAGTCCTAAACCAATTCCTGCTCTGGAAGGGAGTTTGTTGTACCCCTCTCTGGCAGCCCACTGCTTTTCTCTTTATCATCCGTAGCATTAAAGTATTACCCTTTCACAGCAGGTAGCCGAATCCTCACTCTTAGCTCATCCTCTTCACAACAACAACTCACAAAGTCATTCCCTTTTTTGTTCTTTTTTTTTTTTCTGGAGAATGCTGCTCTAACCTAAACCAATAGCCTGCACCCATCTTTTTTGCGTTGAGAGACCAGAGAATCTGGATCGAGCTCTTGTTTTATCCAGTAGTCCATCTATGATTGATTCTCAATGACAGCAACCACTACTAAACCTAAATGAATGAGCTGAAATGAAACAACTAGATGATGCTTTCAGTGTTGGCTGCTCTGTTGCTTGTCCTGTGATGCATGTGACTGCATGATGCATGCTGGGAAAGAGGGTAGTGAGTGTGGAGGGTGAGTGTTTCTGCTGGGATGGAGCGGGACGGGGAGACATCGGGTAATGTGGCTGATTGCATCGCAGAGGGTGTCATGGTAACGGAAGGATTGAGGTAACATTTAACCCTGTGCAATGCAATTATGACTTTCTGTGTTTAAGTATAATCTTTCCCCAGATCAGTAAAGGATGAAATATACTTTAAAACACTGACGTTTATGTTAATGGTGTTTTAATTTATTACTTCATCCGCTGGTCTGAGTTAAATCTGTGAACCTCCTCCTGGAAAAGCTCTTTGACTGACAGCTCAGATGCTGATATGAAAACAAGATACACCATCATATAGATACGAATTTGATTTGTAACATATGCAGCCTCAGTTTCATGGACATCTGAATCAGTGGTTTTTGACTGGTTTTGCTTCAGGACCCAGATTTTACAAAGCTAGCAATAATATCCCTGAAAGCAAGCATTGACCTTTATTTATTTATTTAGCCAATAATTCACTGTACAAAATACATTGTGATTGGTACAAGCAGGCTTACCATTGTTGAAATTGAAATTGTATATCATTTGATTTTATTATTTTTTTATTGTTTTACCTTAGTGACATAGTTTTGTTCATGATTTTTGAGAGTGAGGTCATGTCACACCAACTGTCATTGTTGGCATCTTGCTAATTTGGTGAAAATTCACCAAATTACAAATGAAATTGTAGAAAGTAAAATGAACGTTAAAATGATTAAACAGCCTTTGAGGTCAACAACAAAAGACAATCATTTCTGTAACACAGTTCGTAGTCACGGGAAGAAGGAGGCGGGAACCGGCGAACATTTAAATACTTTAATAAAATAAACAAACACAAAATAAAAGTAAAGCGGCAGCCCCTAGCGGACGACTGCCGCACACAAAACACAAAATAAAGTCCAGGCCTGGTCCTCTCTCGTCTTTCACTGTCGTAATTCCTCCTTTTATCCTTCCGGAGCTCCTCCGTGGGACTCGAGACCGGTGAGTGGTGCAGGTGTCGCTCATTATCAATTACTCCACCGGCCTCGCTCCGTTCCCACGGCTCTCGGCCCCGCCCCCACTCGTCACAATTTCCTTCTCACTTTTGAAAGTGGATAATCCTATTTATTTTTGCTATATCTGACTGTAAGCAATTGTTTTAGTTGTGTTTGTATTATATGCATTAAGCATATATGGGTTTTTTTATGTTTTTTTTTTTTTTTTGCTTGCTGTTCTCTGAGAACAGCCCTGCAACCCATTTTTGGGTTGTCACCAACCAGTTAAGAGCCACTGTTCTAGACCACAGAACTATTCCACAACTTCCACAGCAGTCTCATAAACCATTAATCAGTCTTCTTCTTTAGCCATGATTACCACACTAAAACAGCTCTAAATTAATTCTTGCACTGAGTATCAAAGGTCACAGAGCTAACCTTGAAAATCCCTCCTTCCTTTCCCCTCCCATTTCCTCTCACACACCAAAAGCACACCCTACCTGGAGGTTCAAAGCACACATATATTTCAGTAGCGCTGCTCTTCTAACTGGTCCTGATTGGCTCTCCACAGAGACTGTTGCGGATGGATCTGCCAGTTGCCGATGACAACACAGTGCACTTTAATTCCACCCTTATGGCCTTAATCCGAACCGCTCTGGACATCAAGATCGCCAAGGGTGGGGAAGGTTTGGCCCTCCTTTTTTCTTTCTTCCCTCATTCGTTTCTGTTGTTTGAACGGTTGATGTATTTGCCTATAGCTGTTTAAGTACAGTGGGGTTCAAAAGTTTGAGATTCAAATCTAGTCTAAACTTGGAAAGTCAAACCTCAATAAAAAAAAAAAAGTCCTCATAAGAAGACTTTGGGACCCCGCTTTAATATAATGACTCGTAGAATAAATAATTTGTAAGATTTTGTACACAGTACTTCTCTACATATGATTGGATAATACATTGTTCAAACATTAACAAAAATTGTGTGTGTGTGTGTGTGTTTGTGGAAATATGTTTGCATATATGTGTGTACGTGTACCTGTTGCTGTGTAAATAGGAGGCGTAGATAAGCAAGAAGAAATTCACTGAGAATGAATTGTAGACACTGAAAGTGATGCAGAAAGTATTATTCAAATCCAATAATGGTGCAAACATTGCTGATTGCAGTTTGCATAGGACGTATAAATAGATGCAAGGCCTATACATGCAAATGAACTAAGAGAGTAGTTGCGTAAGGGATACTTGAGTTTTTGTTGTGAACAGCTGAACACATAGCCTTTCAAAGTATACTCCATTTGATAGTGTGCGCTAACACAGACGCTAGAAACATGCACACTAGAAAGTTTTACCCTTGTCCAGTGTCTGCACTAATTCTCTCCAAAAGTTATGAGCAATAAAAATGCCTTTGTACTAGTTTAAACTGTAGATCTGGTTATCTTGGAAGGTCTGCACATAAGCGTTTGTCAACGTAGTCGTCTATTGTCGTTGTCGTCTCCAGTAGTTTGTTGTTGTTGTATGCGCGGTTAGAAAAATCTGCTGTAGGCTACTAGCATAATGAAAAAAATTTACATCATACACACTATACGCATACCGTAGTGTGCACATAAATACTGAATTACTTTGTGCTTACTTTGTACTTTAGTGCAGTAAAAAAGCCTTGAAAGTTGTTTTACGAGCACATGTGTTGCCTTTAGCTTTAGCATGTTTAGCTCCTTCCCTCCTCCTACGTGCAACTACAAATTTACACACAAACATATTAACAAAGATATTTTAAGACAGTCTATGTTCAAGTGCTACAAAAGACATTGATAACACACATTTGTGTATGTCCAGCTCACTATGCCTGAGACCAGGGGGTGCCTTACTATAGATCAACCCTCTATAGATGTCTTTTCACTACAGGGGTTATGAGATTCCTGACAAGATGTACGTAAAACAGTATTATTTAATAAAAAATAAAAATAAATATTGCACCACTAATATGCTACCAATGAAATGTATGTGCTAATCTTATGAGATTTGCTTAAAACTAGCTAGTTTAATGCTAGCTAGATGCTACAAATAAAGCATGAGATAATTAGGTGGCATTGCTGTCACACATTAGGCAATAAAGCTTTTGGCAAAATCATAATGCTAGTAATATGAAAGTATGTTTTAAATGAGTTTGCAGCAAGCATGTAGTAATTTAGAACTTTATTGTTTGATGCTAATTTTTTATCTTCATTGTTCTATGCAGATCCTATACAGAGGTGGTGACCATGGCTTTAAACACCACTAAGCATGGCATGTAAACCTAGTCTGAAGTTACTCTTAGTTACTTCTCCATGTGGACTCTGTTCCATAAAACGGCAAGGACCGTTTTTTGGGAGACCATTTTACTTTGTTTACTGTATCTAGGAATTATGCTGTAGTTTGCTGTCAGTTCCTGCAATACTTTTGCACTTAAAATAGTAGAAACCGAGTATTTCAAATATTGATCATAAAAATGAAGTGCGTAAATAGTTTTAGCCATTTTAATCAGTCTGCTTGTGAAAAGACCATTGGCTCTGTGCATGTCGATTTGACACTCTTTGTTTGTGCATGTGAGTTTGTGCGTCTGCGTTTGTCTTGTGCACGTCCCGTGTTCACTCCCATCCCCCTCGCTCAGGGTCCATCTCACCGTGTCTAATCGTGCAGGGTAACTTGTCCTTTTCTCAGCAGCGACAGACCTGACAGTGGGAAAGATCTATGCTGCCATGATGATCATGGAGTACTATCGGCAAAGTAAAGCCAAACGGACACAGGCTGTCCACGATGAACAGGTATGCTGTCTTCCTCTCACCCGGCAATCACAATCTCAGTCCACAATGAGCTGTGACAGTCTTCAGCTGTGCTAAATGCTCATTTTCACCATCGACTCTGAAGTGTAAACACACTTGTATCTTAGGCTACGTCCACACGAAGCCCGAGCTTTCCCTATCCAATCTTTTTTTTCCCCTCGTCTCAGGAAATATCTGCGTCCACACGAAACCACGAAACCGACACAAAACAATGTAGTATACATGCCAGACCAGTATGTGTCGCTGTAATTCTGCCACAGAGATACACTAAAAACGGAGAAGACTTCAGACTATGCGCATAAACCTTGCGCGTGGTATGCAAACGAACATGGAACAATACATTTATTAATATGTGTTAATGTTAGTTAATAAAAAGACAATCGTTCAGTGTTTGTTCATGTTTTTGTTGCTGTTACGTGACGTAGTGGTGTCTGACTAGGGGTGAGACATGGGCTGATGATATCACCGTTTCAGAAAATATACGGATTCGCTGTCCACACAAAAACGCAAGGGTGGCGTTTTCAGATTTATCCACGCTGGGTCCCGGTTTCAAAAATATCGGTGTCACTCTCCCAAAACACCGGATCCGTGTGGACGAAACGCCTATACGATACAAAATGTATGCGTATACAGCTAAACTCAATGTGGACGGGGCCTTAGATAGTGAGCCAGTTACATGCCAGTGGAAGTTCTGATGTTGTTTAAATAACATTCTCAGTGAAAAGCTGTTGAGAAAGGCAAAAAAAAACATCTCACCTTAAGATGAGGAACCACATTAAATGTGTCGTGTTCTGGCGGTTTGTCACAGTTCATGTGGAATCTGAGAATAAACTGTTCTTCCATATCAAATTTGACAATGTACTCACCTTTCTCATTTTGGGACTGTGAGCGATAACCTTCTTTGTATTTAGTAGTCCAGTAGGTTTACCTAGTTCCTTTGCCCTTTATCTTTAATCATGACCTTGTTGATCCTATTGCATCAACTGTCAATAGTGATGACAGCTCAACATTTTGATGTTACTTAGAACAACCATTTGGCATTAAAGTACTACTTTCACAAATGCATCTCTGCCTTACACAAAATAAGATATTTATGTGGAGCTAAAGGTGAAGTGTGTAATTTCTATCCATCCATCATCAAGTCGCCTGAGCTGCAGAGGCTCGTAGCCCGATCTCGTCATGCGAAGTGAATGGCCGCGGCCAATGGCAAGGTTACATTCATGGAGGAGGGAGGAGATGATCCATCCCCGATCTGTTGAACCCGAGTTCACCGAGGGCAAACAGGTGGTCTGCTCCAGCCAATGGGAGCATGTCTTTCAGAGCGTCGGGCAACGGCGCAGGCTAAGGCACCATAGGCAGGAGTATGACTTGCTAGCCGGGCCACATGTCTGAACAAAGACGTGCGCCGACAAGCAATTATGTCTGTGGTAGTTGGCAGACCAGTGCGTAGGTTGATGGCCGCGTTTGTTATGAGGTCGGACCAATGAACATGCAGGATTTGACGCTGGCAGCGCATATGAAATGACTGTAGCCTTTTGGCATCTTGTGATTGAAGAGTCCAGGTCTCTGAACCATACAGAAGATTTGGCAACACGCAGGAGGAGTAGAACCGACGTTTTGTGCTAAGCTGAGTCCTCTGTTGACGCCAAAGGTTCTGAAAAGACCTCATTGCTGAAGCAGCCAGACCAATTCGGCGTGCGATATCGGCCGCGCACCTTCCATCTGAGTTTTGTACACTCCCCAGATATGTGAACTGTGTGACATTTTCCACCTTCTGACCCATAACAGTAATGTTCCTGATATTGGATCCGCCACCCAGGCTCTGCAATTTGTTTTTTTGCCATGATACGTGTAGGCCCAGATGGGAAGCCTCTCGCTCAAAATGCTCAAGAGATGTTACCAATTTTGATGCAGATTCGTCTAGCAACGTGACATCATCTGCGTAGTTTAGGTCAGTGAAATCATGTTCTGGCAACTTAACGCCATTCTGTGATGCTATTCGCTCGAGGATCCAATCCACGGCTCTGCAGAAAAGTGCTGGGGCCAGAACACAGCCCTGCCTAACTCCGGAGGTAGTTGTAAGCACCTCGGAGAGTGAGCCGTTAACCCTCACTCTGGCGGTAGTACCTGAATGAAGGTCCTTAGTGTAATTTCTGCACCACTAGTTTCACCAAATGGAATTGTAAACACAATGACTGCTTCAAACTTTGCCAACTGCTATTGGGCAGACAAACAGGCAATCCCACACCAAACTCAGTTTATGTGCCCTTGTATCTTTATATTAAACAATATAAACCTCTTCGCTCCAATGATGTGTCTTCTCTGATGATGTGTGCATCGGTGTGAGGGCGGGGCAAAAATCCCTACACTCCAGCAACCTGTCAATCATGTTAGATCACAGCAATTAGCAAAGGACAACGATCCAATCAATTCTAGATGGACAAAATCCTGCCATACATTTTTTTTCTCTCATTTGAGATGCTGTTTCTCTTGGATATACATCACAATATGAGGGAAAAGTCCATCACTATTTTCGTTTTACTTTAGGCTTGGACAAGGATAATGTTTTTACATTGATAAAATTACACACATCACCTTTAAGCTCTGTCAGGATTGAAAAATCAGGCCTCCTTCTTCATTCAGTTGAATGCACAGTGTAGTTGTTGTAAAAACAACTATAAATGCTGAATGTATTTGATAAAGGAAGGCCACATCTCATCTCACAACTCATCTTTCTTAGAAAATTGGACCTACAATCATTATCTAAGGATTTAAATCACATTTGTGACTTTTAAATCACATCGATGACATTTGTGGCATCCTTCCAAGAAGTGAAAGGAAATTGAATAAACCTGGGAAGGCATGTAAGTGGCTGCCCCTTAAAAGGTTTTTACAATCTGTAAAGTATTGCATTGCATGATTACTCTCTTCCACATAAACCTCTAGATTAATAATTCATTGCCAAACTTATTGACTGACTGACTTAGTTCCTAATTTTATGAAGTCACTTGGAGTGGGTGGTTTAATATTTCAGTATGTCTGATGGCTTGTTTTAATTATGTCCATTCATTCTTCCAGCTGAATAACAGAACAGTGTGCGTCCTGCTGTAATTGAATCCCAGTGGTTCAATAACTATTGATTATTAGCAGTTACTATGGTTTTGGTTGCAGAAAGGGTATACAAAATCATTGTTTCAGTTATTTATTATTTTAGCAATCAAACACAAAATACACTTCAATTTCCTCGGTGGTTTATATGACGATGGTTTATACATGTGTTTTCATTGATGATGAATATTAGTATGAATAGTAGAGTGTAATGCAACATGGGCCTGATGTACATTTTATACTGTGTTGTTCTTGTGTGATCCACAACTATACATCCACATGAAAGTCAAACACATTTTTGTAGACATGGAGCTGGCCTGTACAATCTTAGTGGTAACCATGATGTTTCAAGTGGATGTAGCAGTTTTGGCAGAGACCATTGAACTTGCTAAGCTTTTTCTCATACAGAGTCCTAACTCATCCATTAGATAGTATTAAGTACAAACTCGATCTGTGCATGTTGTTCACAGATGATTCCTTTTCTTTTATCAGCTCTCATTCTTTTATCCACTATTACTTCCTCTCATCAGATTTTAATATGAAACCTGCCTTTACATACTACATGCATTTTGTGTTTCTCACTGGACAGGTTGATTATTTTTTTTCTTCCTTCATTTTTCAAATATCAAGGTGTCATTTTTGGCTGATGGTACCAATTGTCTGCTTTATGGATTGAATACACACAAAAAATGGCTCTAAAGAGAACAAGCTCTGGAGTTTTTGTTATAGTAGTTGTAATGATCTACATACTCTCTTTCAAAACAAAAAGGTTGGGTGGTACATAATCAAAGGGCTTGCCTCTTTTTTATTAAATAGCCTATTGGTTGTAATTACATAAGAGCTATGATTTGTGACTTTCTACTCATTTTGGTGATGGTATCTGGGGGAGGGACATTCTCATTCTATAAAACATTTGATTGGACAAAAAAATCTATGTAGTACAGGATGAGACATCAATATTTTTGATCTGTTTTCCCAGAAAAGGCAGACCCTACATTTTAAATGTTTAGAGTCAGTATGATTTTTTTCAAATGTTTTTGAACGAGGCCTCTTATGATTGCCTTAACTGTTAACTGTTTTCCATTTTAATACATTTTAAAAAGCAATTTATTCCTGTGATGACAAGGCTGCATTTTCAGCATCATTACTCCAGTCTTCGGTGTCACATGATTCAATTCAATTCAAGTTTATTTGTATAGCGCTTTTCACGATACGAATCGTTGCAAAGCACAAAGCAAGAAAATTAAGTTTCTACATTATATTTAGGAGTAGGTTATTAGTGGTGACTATAGCAGAAATGTACAGTAAGAATCATGCAATCAAACAGACGATGAACACTGTCAGCTGCAATGGTTATATGTTGCGATTAAACGTCGCGATTAAGCTAAATTTGGTAGTTCTGTATGTTGTTCCAGGGTTAGCATCATCTGAGGTCTTCTGGGGGCTTGGCATCATCTCTTCTCAGATCTTCATAAGGGTCCAGACTGAAGCTTGTGTAATTCCTAGTTATCTCGGGATGCAAGTATAGGAAACAGGAAATGAACAGTATAAAGGAGGCAGCATGGCAAGCAAACGACCCCATTTTAACTATTGTAACATCTTCCGATAAGGCCGATCATTACATATCAACAAGTGATGTGATCAAGTGATCAACAAGTTACAATCCAGTGATGTTCCAAGTGCTTGTATCTGGAAAGGTAAGTCAGAATAAAACTCCACAGTCCAGAAATGGTGATCACCGACTTACCTTTCCAGATACAAGCACTTGAACCATCACTTGGATTGTATAATACACATCATCTCAACTTTGACAAAGTCAATAACAAACTTAAAGTGCTCTAGAATAATGTAACAAACAATAAATGTAATAAAATTAGAACAAAGCATGAAATATATTAAAACATAATACATTCAAAACATAAAGTGGAGTCATTGCAAATCCCATTTACAACACCCAATCTAAAACATAGAATAGAAAAATACTTAAAATGATAAAGGATGACAACAATTTTAATCTTCAGTAAAAAAATGTGAAAGACATGCACATAATCAATATTTTTAAGATAAACAATTAGTATAGAAATGAATTGTTCACCACATAATGGCAGAAACATTACAGACATCCCTCCACCATGTTATGATTTAATAACTTTATCCGGGACCCGATGTGAGATCCACCAATCAGAGAGGTTCCTGAAAATATCAATCTTTTTTTTTTATAGGATGAAATGAATGGAGACTATCTTGAAGACTATGTTTTTCTATGGGAGGGACGTGACCTAAAGACAACGACGAGTTAATAATATTGAGAAGCATTGATGATGCTTCAGAAATCATCCTAATATGCTGATTTGGTCATCAAGAAACATTTCTTATTATTATCAATGTTGAAAACGGATTAGTATTTTTGTGGAAACCATTATTTTTATTTTTTTTCAGGATTCTTTATTGAATAGAAAGTTCAAAAGAACACCATTTATTTGAAATCTTTCATAACATTATAAATGTCTTTACTGTCACTTTTGATGAATTTAATGTGTTTTTGCTGAATAAAAGTATAAATTAAATATAAAAAAGTATATATATATAAAAAAAAATCTTACTGACCCTAGATCTCCTAAAAGTGAATTTTGTCTATGTTTAGGTATACACTATAGCATACAGATGAGCTCAAAGCTAACAAACAGCCCAATCTACTGTCTACTGAATGACACCAAGATGTATCACCACTCTTTAGCAGCCAGTTCAGAAACTTTACATTTACTGGGACAATGAAAGTAAATGAATTCTCAGCATGGTACCATCGGCAGATTTCAGGCAATACAACTCACAGGATACCCATTTACCCATAATGCTCCTGGAATGCCTCCTGACTGACCGCTGCTGGATTGCCTCTCCATTCGCACATGTGATGCTCTGCATCCCATATCTTTCCCCAACCCCATTTTCCCATCAGCTTGCCTGATACCAGCTGTAGGCCATGTTGTATCTTACACAGAATCGAACGCCATTAATGTTTCAGCGTCTGGAGCCGCCGTCTCCAAGCCAGGATGTGGGACAGGGACTTACTGGCCTTCCCGAGACACAACAGCACCCTGCAAATCATCTGTGAGTAGCACCCTCTCCATTTCCTCCCTAGTCTCTCTCCCAATGTTAAAGTTTATAGTATAATTTTTTTATTAATGAAATTGCTAATGTAAATGTTAACAAAGGGATTTTTTTATTATTATTTTGACAATGGTAGCAAAGCTGAGATTAATGCATACATCATGACAATAATTAAATATGAATTTTTCAAATAACCCAACCATGGTTAAGAATGACCAGTATTGATTTTAGTCAAAGTAAAATGTACTCAAATTAATAAATATGACATGATGAAATATTGAATTAAAAAAATAATATAAAATATTCTAAAACAAAACAAAAAAAAACTGTCAAATTAATGCAAGCCACTTTTTATTCTCTACTTTTATAGTTTTCAAAAGACAAGAATTGTGATTAAAACAACAAAAAAGAAAACTGTAAAACAAAAATAATAATACATAAAATAATAATTTAATAAAGATTAAAATCGTCACATTTTAATACTTTCTTTATATATATATACAGTGGGTACGGAAAGTATTCAGACCCCCTTCAATTTTTCACTCTTTGTTATATTGCAGCCAATTTATATTAAAGAGCACTATTTTTACAAAATGGACCCAGCCATGTGCCTCGCATTCTTGTGTGTATAAAGCAATTGGTATTATCTCTGGCCTCAGGCTGCATGTCATTTAAATATGCATGATTTTTAATGTGGCATTTGCTGCAGACAACATTTTCCTCTAACCATGTACACACACACACACACACACACACACACGGATGATTGATTGATCAAAGCTCACTTTTTATTCTAATCTTTTTTATAATTCATGACCAATACAACAAATACATCAGGCCACTGTGCACCATTTTCCCTCTAGTAGACATCTAATGAGAAAGATCATCTAAACCACAATGAGTGGCAAACCAGAGCCTTGAGCCCTTCACGGAGTGTAGAGAGTTTGTAATCTGACTAAACATGGGTGTTGTCAGGCCTGTTGATGACAGGATCCCGGAGAGCCAATCATGGGTGACGGCACGAGCCCAAGAGATGTCTCAGAAAGCAGGAAGCTGGAGTCCTGAAGGCCAAAACCCAGATGACACTGCAGATAACCGCATACTATCTCAGGTACACAGAGCCTCATTTACAATCTCATTTACAATTTTCGGTGAGGGTACCTATGTAAATGCTTAAATTTATAAAAATTACTTTAGGGTAGTGCATCACTGTACTCTTAACCTCAAACATTACCAGATTAGTATGATAGTACAACAATAAATGCAAGTGAAATAAAAAAGATGCGATAAAAAAAAAAAAAAAAAGATTTTTGTGATGTGAGAGCCACTATTTCACTACTTTATGAATTCTCCAGCAGCATATAACTCCCTCACGTTCATGTAGTGTCAAACCATTGGACGTCTCAGTGGATCAATAATGTTTTCTCTGCCTTTATAAGACAGCAAATCAGATATTCAGTCTTTTGTGGAGGGTGTCCATTGGAGCGGGTTGTTTTCATAACCCTGAATGGTTGGTCTGTCTATCCCTCATCCATGTGCATCTCATTGGCAGAAAGCAACAAAGCCCCTTCTCTGTTGCTGAGTAAAAACTGAATTCAGTGGACTATCTTCCACACTCTCTTATTCTCTCTTATATTTTCCTTCAGTCTTTGTGTCCTTCTGTTACTGTTTATATTCTTTTATTAATCTCACATGTCTGCTTTGTATGGTGAAGCTCATGTCATTGAATATATGCATCCATATTCGACTATCTGGGAAGGATGTTTAAACCCTTCCGCAGTCTTACGTGCCATTATACTGTCAGGAAGTGAGACACTCCTACCCAGCTCAACTATTCATTAAATTCATGTCAGGAACTGCAGTCGCTTTTATCCAAAGCTTATCAATAAGAAAGACAACATAAGCGATTCATAAGAAGTAAGTAACAAAAGAAAAGCTGCAAAACACAGTTCTAAAATTGATTAGAAAACGTCAAGCTTTACTGAGCAGATGAAAGTGAGAAACAGTAAGATAATATTGTTCATTGAGAATAGATTTTTTTAATTGCAAGAGCTTATAAGCATAGTTCACCCAAAACAAATTAAAACTGAAAAATTAAAAACACCATCAATTAATCACCCGCATGTCAATCAAAGCTCATATGACTTTTTTTTTTCTTCTATGAAACAGTGAATTTTTGAAGAATATCCAGAGCACTAACATAACATAATGACAGAGAATGAGGACTGGGGTTGTTAATCTCCAAAATGACCACAAAAAAACACACACATGGTCTATAAAACTTGTGCACTATATTTATTTATTTAAAAAAAAATATTTTTTTTAAGAAATATGGTAGTTAGTTTGCTGAGGTTTAAGTCACTATTTACTGGAAAAATCGTAACATCTATGTTCATAAGAGAAGTAGCAATGTCTAATTCATGTTTGAATCATTTATTGGTGTCAGATCTTATGAATGAATCCAGTTTACAAAACCAGTCTGTTTGAATCAGAGTTAGGTTTACTCATTGACTCAACAATCCAGTCACAGCATTTAACAGCTCTTTGTGAAAAGAAATGAGTGAATAACGACTTATATTTTGGTCTTTTTCTTACAGTTGTTATCATATGGCATCAGATCATTTTGAATTATACTGCACAGATATTTCCTATGATTCTTCCATCTTTCTTGGAGCTTGAAAGCTTCAGTCCCCATTTATTGTAATTCAAGAATTTGCTGGTTGCTCCTTTTTGTGCAAAGTCCTTCTTTTGTGTTCTATGGAAGTACGAAAGTCATACTGTTTAGAAGAATGTGAGGGTGAACAAATGATGTCTAAACCTTTAACAAAAGTGCAGAAGCATAATTGAGTCAAGAGATGTGTGTCTAGGGCTGGGCGATATGGCAAAAAAAATCAAATCTAGATTTTTTCAGAACGTTTGACCGATTCTCGATTTTTACGATTTACGACTTGAAAATGTAACTACAACATGATTCAAGTAACTTTTTCTTTATCAACCCTCTAAAGAAATTTCTATTTTAAGTGCACCACACATGAAGTTGTCAACATTATGTAAATGTTAAACAAATCACTTGTCTTAACGTTAAATATCTTTGCAAAAAAGGTGCATGAACTACAACTATATCTTCTACAAACTTGTCTTAAACATATTATTTGTTCAGAAATAATACAAGGAAAATGCTTTAAAAAATATCAAAAGTCAAGGTAATTCAAATTCAAAATGACTGAATGTATAACACCAGTAGACTATTAACTATAAATGTTCTGTAAAAACAATGAACAGCAGCTTTCAGCCTGTCACCATGATGCAAACATGAAATTTCAGACATACAGTAGTAGTTCTTTACAGGTTTTTATTTGATTGCGCTGCTTTTCCACTGTTTTTTCTATGTAAACTTGGACGCATTTGACTGTTGCACTCGCATCTCTTGCAGCGTCTCATGCATAAAACGGCATTCTAAAAACACGCCGCTCAAGTTGAAAGAACTTCAACTTAACTCCCATCTTCCTGCATTTTTTTCCTATTCCACTGCCCGTGTCACATCTTTGTCAACACAAAAGCGCATTCTGTGTGAATGGCACCTGGTGATATATTCTACTTATGGTCCTTCACAGAGCGCGTCACACTTGAGCGGTTAATCACGTGCGCCGACATGCGGTTGGATCATTCTTTTCTCTTTACTGTTAACATTGACATATTGTCAAAGTGTCTAATTCTAACGTTTGGTAATATTTCTGTTCAAAATAAGGATTCCTCGATTTAAATAAAATCGTGGCAAAAAATTACATTTGAATTAATCGATAAAATCTGAAAAATCGCCCAGCCATATGTGTGTCTATGTATTTGAAGCTGGGTCACAGTATATCCTGTTTGTGATCTAAGAGAGAGAGAGTAGTTTCTAATACCATCATCTCCTGATCTTCTCTCAGTGATCCTGTAATTGAAGCCCTGCATGTATTTACCCAGCTAACAGCATCAGATCCTACTTTTTTGCAAACCCAACAGCAGTTACATATAGAATAGAGGCTGGGGCAGGACTGTCCTGCTACTCTTGCATCTCCCCACAGGGTGAAGGGAGAGATGAAGGTGGAGATGTCCTCCTTCCATCCACTGTGCTTAGGCCTGTCTCTCAGGCCCCTGGCATTCACTCTTGCCTGCTGTCCCTGGGCAGTCATGCATGGTCTCCCTCTGTTTCTGCAGACAGTAGAGATGAGAGAGATGGGGCGGGACGGGTACTCGGACACTGAGCACTATCTGCCGATGGAAGGCCATGGCAGGGCTGCTTCCATGCCTCGACTCCCAGCAGACAACCAAGTGAGCGCCTCATCCTGTCATTCCTTCGTGTTTCCCCCCTTCCTTTTCTTCTACCCCCTTTTCACATCTGTCCTTCCTTTCTTGACCCTCCAAACATTCCACTTTCCATTCCTGCATTAAACAAATGTGCCCATTGGCCAGATAAAGCAAAGAGAACCCATTATAGCATATGCAATGGATTGATATCCTTTACAAGCAAGTGTGAGCGTGAATTACACAAACGAGTCAATTATGCTAAGTCGCTAAGTCATAACGATACTAGATGGCTAAATGGTGCATTAAGTCAAGTATACAGCCATGCAGTCTATTGAGATGAAATGTGTAAGATGGTATAGCAGCATGAAATACATTTTCATTAGGGACACTTGTTCAGGTGTTTACATACTTTGGGTCATGTAGACGGGTAATAGTGGAACTGAGTAACAGGGACTACCCCAGGGACGACCCCCCATCCTTGAGGCACTCCACAAGAAACAAAGCTTGATCAGTCAGTATGAAATAGTTTCATCTGCATACCTGTCATAAATATGCATTTTAAGTATCTGTAATTATCAGAATATGTGTTTGAATATATGTGATGTATTCAAGAATACATTTTTTTGCATTCAAACACAATCATATTATAATTGTCTAGATAGATGATATCTAGCATATTACAACATGCACCCTCCTTACTTATAATGCATATTTGATGCAGGTCTAGAACAGGGTATAATTTAAGTGTTTTTTTTATTTCATGTTTCTCACCACTGGCCTTTGAGTAGCTGCCTCCTCCTCATTCATACAGACCCTAATATACACACTTCCCAGCAACACATTATACAAAAAGGAGTATGTCACACGAACAGGACATCTGGATGCTCTGTATTCATAAAATGCAATACCCAGATGGCATATTGCATCCGCGGAGATTCTGAAATTTGTAACAAGTGCACAATTTGCTATCCCATGATGCTGTGGGTGCTGAGGAGCTGACAGATTAGAAAAGCAGGGTTGGGTTTGCTTTCTTTTTTCTGAATAAATTCTCTTCTCATGCTGTCTCCTTGAATTTTCTGTGAATATGTCTTTCCTTCTCTCCTTCTCTATATCTTTATTTTTTCTTTAAATTCTTAGTTTCATTTTGGGTTTGGCTAACTCTGACTTCCTCCCTAGGTAAAGAAGTTACTCAGTGTTCTTACATTGTCTTTACTATAAAAAATAAGTAATTTAAGTAATTATTTACAGCCCAGTATTACTTTATGTGGTTCCTTTCTATTTTTGTTGTTATTAACCTTTGGCCAAGTTTGAATTGCGTTTCATTCAGGGTCATAAAGCTCAGTGAAATTTAAGGCTGAAGCAAGCAATGACTTGGGAGTTGGTACTGAGATGTGGATTTTTGTGACCATGTGTTTGTGTGCATTAATGTCTCCCAAGTTTATGTAAGTACAGTACTGTTTAAAGGTTTGAGGTCAGTTTTTTTTTTTTCGTAATTGTTTTATTTAACAAGGATGCAGCAAATTGAGCAAAAGTGACAGCAAGGACATTTGTCACAAAACATTTCTATGTCAAATAAATGCTGTTCTTTTAAACTTTTTTGATCAAAGAATCAAAGAAAAAAAAATTTTCAACAAAAACTTTTAGCAGCAAAAACTGTTTTCAACATTGCTAATAATAAAAACTGATAATTAATAATGACCATCATTAATAAGTGTGCACCAATCAGCATATCAGAATGATTTCTGAAGGATCATGTGACACTGAAGACTACAGTAATGACTGCTGAAAATTCAGCTTTGTATCACAGGCATAAATTACATTTTAAAATATATTAGAACAGAAAACAATAATTTAACATTGCGATAATATTTCACAATGTTACTAGTTTTACTGTTTTGGTCAAATTAATGCAGCCTTGGTGAGCATTAGAGACTTCTTTCAAAAATATTTAAAATCTTACCGACCCCAAACATTTGAACAGTAGTGTATGTGTTGTACTTGCGCAACCCTCAACATGTACTAGTGTGAGAGTGATTTACATATATTTTTGAAACCAAGTACAAGAGAGTTTTGTTGGTGTGGTCTCATGCTATACGTACTGTATGTGTGCGCAGTGTTGTAGTAGTATACCTCTCTATGGCCACTGTGTGTCATGATCACTGTACTGTTCCTCACCATATCATTTCTGTGTGGTGTACTGTGACGTGTCTCTAACACTGCCTCTGGTCCTCTGTGTGTGTGCTGCTGTGGTAAGTGTCTTTTTTCCGTCTCCACTGCTTCTGTGTCTAACCAGGTTCTCTGTGTCTCTCTTCTCTCTCTTTATTTATATCTTTCTCTCCTTATTTCCTCCCCTCTTTTACTCTCTTTTTTTGCCCTCCCCATCCTCGTTTACTCCTGCACGAAACCCTGTCTCCAACTTTTTCTTCTTTTGAGTACAATCTCTCTTTCTCTCTCCTTCTCTCTCATGCCTGGGGTCACCCACTGTTAATGTGCTTTGTCTTGTGTAAATGCGGCCCTATGTGCTTTCTATGTGTGTATTTGTATGGACATATCTGTGGCGTGCCTTGTGTTTGTATGGAAATGGCTGTTCAGCAGCCACGGAGGAAAGGGCGGCACCGGGGAGATAATCTCACTGTATGTGCAACCTCTCTCGTTCATTATTACTTTCTTTCCATTATCACTCTCTGTTTGACTCTGTCTGACTCTGGCATCTGTCTTTCTGTCTCTGAACCATTCTCTGGAAATCACCTAATTTGTGCTTGAATATCTCAGGAAAAAAAATACTGGAAAAATCTTTTAATATTGCAATATGGGATTTATTGTACTTTTGGCAATATTCTTTTTTTTTCATTCAGAGGAAACATTATTTCAACTATTTGATCCAATAACAGTAAAAATTAGCGTAAAATAATGTTTTAACCAAATGAAAGCAATTAAGGAAGGATCATTTAATATTTCTGTTTATTGCTTTATTTGAAATAAAATTAAATATTTATATAGATACATTTTTACTAACACATTTTAATATACTGAGGGACTTCTATGAACATTTTAGTAATGACACAGACAGATAGTTTAATCATTTGTAAAAAGTATTGAAGCTATTCATTGGCAACTTACTATACTGGGGCATTATTATTATCTGTAGAGTACAGACAGATTTTCAGACAGATTTGTGTGCAGATCAAATCACACAAGACTCCTTGTCTGCCTCCTCCTAATGTATATCTGCTATCTGTGTGCTTTGCAACAATCATTGTATGCTTTCTGTTCATGTGCATGTTATGTTTTTGTGTCCAGTCTTTAAGCGAGTGCAATTATCTGTGCTGTGCTGTGTGTGTGTGTGTGTGTGTGTGTGTGTGTGTGTGTGTGTGTACGTACGTACGTACGTGTACGTGTGACTGTGTTTTTGAGCAGAGACATGCAGAGATCTTTTGGTGTTCAGTGGGTCGAAAGGGCGAAAGAGGAACTTTCTAAAGTGTTTTTTATTTGTTATTGTATGTGACCTGTGCTGGCAAAATTGATTATTAAAACTACAAAAGTAGTTCAGTCAAGAGCAGTGAGTGATTCTTTTATTGTTAGATTAACATTAATGAGGCGGCCTATATTAAGACTCACTGTAATGCACGGATCTAATATAATGTTACACATCAAATGTTTTTTTCCCCAACAGTTCCCCGAACGTTCACTTAAGACATAACAGATTATGTTTGCGTGAATACTTATATACTGTAATTCTGTGTATATGTGTATATTTATCAGGATCGCGCGCAATCGGAAGCGCCTTTATGATGACAGTCAGCGTGAGAAATGAGCTGAGAAAAGGTAGCTACTCCTCTCAGAAAACGTACAAATAAAGGTAATTAAACATCTAAAATTATTATTTGGAGCATTGAGATCGCTAGACGAGGGCTTAATTAACTCATTTTTGTGAAAACCTCAAAATCGACTAAAATCGACATTTTTCACTTTTTTTGCCTGTAGCTCAAAATTAGCTCGTGCGCATTCTGACTCATTTTGCCAGCACGGGTCACATATTATTTATATTTTTAATTTAATGAAAGTTTGAATGTGTTATTGAGTATACTGGTATATACTTGTTGAATGCAGAATGATGATGGAACAACTACCAGTCCACAGCAAATAAATAAATAAAAATAAAAACAAATCATTGTAAATAATAATAATAATAAAAAACATATAATGCTACTGTAATGGAAGTGGGTGAGAAAATAATACATATCGTTACATATGTAACATTCAAAAGTAACATTCCCCAACACTGTTTATGTTAAAAACAAATGTTTTTGTAGCACAAATAGTTTACCAGTTACTGCACATACTCTTCTTCTTATAGTTATTTACCTATAGTGGCTAATGAATCTGAAATCTTACATCTTACTTCCAAGTTGTTGTTTTTTTTCTACAGATGAGTCAGTAACTGAAAACCCTTGATTGTATGCAATGCTGCATCCATGCCTCTAGGTGTCAGTGTTGATAGTGTTTGATAATGAAAACAGTCAAATTCACACTTTTATGAGAAGGACAGGTTCTAATGAGATTATTCAGATCGCACAAGGTCCGATGAGAGTCCAGGGTTTGTGCCACTGCAAACCACCCCACTCTGCACGTCCCTCTTCCTGGACCATATATCTGGTGCTGCCCCACACATCCTCTCTGAAGCCTGGACAGGCCTCTCTCTTCTCTCTGTGGTGTGCATGACTGTGAGTGATGAAAAGAGAGGTCTGCTTAAGAAATGTGCTTCTGTCAAATGTTGAACTAGGATGTATATTCACGGATGAGTATTTTTTTTAACTTTTTATAGATTCAGTCCTGGATGCATGCAAGGCACGACCTTTTGCAACTATCTTTCAGTTTCTCTCTCTTTTTTACATATACGTCTTTCTCTTCTATGCGGATTCTGCATGGTGAATTTCTTTAGTTGGTCGCTGGTATCGGCTGAGTGTGTTCATCAGGTCATACACAATCAAACCAAACCAACTCCCAGACCTACAGAATTAACA